GAATCGGAAGAAAAATGCGTCACGCGGACGATACGCGGCCGATCTCGACGCGGAGGATCGAGGATCGAGGATCTCGATCACCGGCAGGCGCGGAGCGTGGCTAATTGCGACGAAGGAGAGGCGATATTATCTGAATCGCGGATATCTGCCGGGAGATACACGAGCGGATAAGCGAGGAACAATGGAGGCCCGTCGGTGGAAATCGGCGTGGCGGGTGACGGCGAATCGGCCGGCATGATCGATTTTTTCCACTTTCTAAACGGGGCCCAAGAGCGCGCGAAATTTCGTGATTAGCTCGAGCGTTTTTGTCAACGTCGCGTTGGCAATAGTGCTCGTTCGCGCGGAGAATTATTGCCTCATCGAGCTGCCGATCGCCGCGATCGCGCGCGTCGCCACCGGTCGCGTCCACGGTTTCGTGGATCACCGTAGATCATTCGCGGACCGTTCCCCGTCTTCTCTCGATTCAAGCACCCGAGCCAACGGTCCGCTCCTCTTTTTCTACGCGCGCATTCCAGCTTCTTGGTCAATCGAACCGATCTTTACGACCGATTCGGAGTCTTCCGAGTCCGATGCCGCACGGCCCAGGCATTTCTCTGCCTTATACAGAGCCCCCAAGTTCGATACACTGTTCACTGCCAGAGAAACGAAATAGCGATCCAACAATCGGTACTCGAGCTTTCGATCTTTCCGCGACGCGTCGATATACCGATTTTCAGCTTCCATTACCGATCTCTGAAATATTTATTCTCTTACGTTATTTAGATCCAACGTTTTATGGACTCTAATTATGCCTCCAAGTTTGATACATCGTCCACTGCGAGAGGATCGAAATCTCGATCGAATAATCGATCGTCAAGCTTCCGATTCTTTCGCGATTTTTAACTTCCATTACCGATCTTTGGTATCTCTGGAATATTTACTCTCTCATGTTATTTAAACCCGACGTTTCATAGATTCCAACAGTGCCTCCAAGTTCGATAGATAGTCCACTGTCAGAGGATCAAAATCTCGATCGAGCAATCGGTAGTAAAGCTTCCGACTTTTCCGCGATTTTTAATTTCCATTACCGATTTTTGGTATCTCTGGAATAATTATTCTCTTGTGTTATTTAGACCCGAAATTTTATGGACTCTAACAGCGCCACCATGTTCGATACACAGTCCACTTCTAGAGGATCGAAACCTCGATCAAAACATCAGTCCTCAAACTTCCGATTTTTCCGCAACGCGCCGATATTCGTGATTTTTAACTTCCATTATCGATCTTTGGTATCTCTGGAATGTTTATTGTCTTATGTTATTTAAGCCCGAAATTTTATGGACTCTAACAGTTCCTCCAAGTTCGACACATCGTCCACTGTCAGAGAATCGAAATCTCGATCGAGCGATCGATCTTCAAACTTCCGATTTTTCCGCATCGCGCCGATATTCGCGATTTTTCACTTCCATTACCGATCTTTGGTATCTCTGGAATGTTTATTGTCTTATGTTATTTAAACCCGAAATTTTATGGACTCTAACAGTGCCTCCAAGTTCGATATATCGTCCAGTGTCAGTGGATCGAAATCTCGATCGAATAATCGATCGTCAAGCTTCCGATTCTTTCGCGATTTTTAACTTCCATTACCGATCCTTGGTATCTCTGGAATATTTATTGTCTTATGTTATTTAAACCCGAAATTTTCGAAATTTTATGGACTCTAACAGTGCCTCCAAGTTCGATACATCGTCCACTGCCAGTGGATCGAAACCTCGATCGAGCGATCGGTCCTCGAGCTTCCCATTCTTCCACGATGCATCGATCTACGCGATTTTTAACTTCCATTACCGATCTTCGATATCTCTGAAATTTATTCCCTTACGTTGTTTAGACCCAACGTTTTATGGACTCTATATTCACTGCTCTTTATTACGATATTTATTACGATATTTACGACTGGACTAGGATCGAGAAATCTTGCTCGCGTAATTGGATTATATAATTGGACCGAAGAACCGCGGTATCGATCGGAATCAATTAGACTGCGGCCGCACTCGCGGGGACGATCGATCGCCGATGCGATCTGCAGCAGCTTCCATTTTCCTTTCCTTTTTTAAACTTAACAAGGTGGATCGCTTGTCTTCCGTTTTATCCAAGCGTGAAACGGCGCAATGAGTTTTTACCGCGGATTCCATCTGTCCTTACCTCTTCTCTTATCGACTTCCGTTAGAGTTAAATGCACGTCGAGCACGTAAAAATCGTGGCGAATAGAAAAATCTTCCTTCCAATTTAACGCCTATCTTAGATCGATGTAAATCATTCCCGGGATCGATATCCGATCTTCCTCGATCTTTCGACGAAGCTGGGACTTTCTTCTCCACTCTCCTTTGCTTTTAGCTGTCTTGTTCGTTTTTCGCGACAGAAGATTACGTTTTAACGACGAGGCGGAAGTTTCCTTCCTTTCGCGCGCAGCTCGTGAATCGAGCGCCATGAACGCGCGAAAATCGTTCATTCCGACGACGTTGAATGAGAAGTCGAAGCGTACTATAATGCAACCGAGCGAGTGGGCGTCGGGCTTCGATTCAAGCGATCGTAACGCGCGCAAAGGTAAAGTTCAGCGCTCGTTAATACAACGCCAGACGTCGGCAACCGATTATGTAGATCGTCATTGTGCAACTTCGGAACTTTGATCGACGAGTTTAGTTTTTACAGACCCAAGCACTTCGCGTTTCTAACCAAGCTTCCATTTGAAACCGGAATAAATCTCAACGCGAGTGTTTACGAGTTATCCAAACGCGAGATTTAAATTTTTTAAATTTGACGCACGAGGTAGAAGTGTATGCAGCGCCATCTATCAAGTTCTCGCGGAACCCGCTCGAGGATAGAAGTAACGAATGGGAGACTGCTTTATCCGAAGTCGGTATGGCAGATTTCTACAGGGAAACAAAGCAAGGGGGTTAAATAAAAGAAGAAGATTGTACGAAATAATTACGTTTCGGACACGTTTAAACATCGAAGAATGCGAAAGCAATTTGCAGATGAAAAGATATACCGAGGGTACCCCATAATGTCACGTAGCGAGATAGCAACTTGCAAAAATACGCTGCAGAGCGCGCCACGCATCAGTCGTACGACTAATGCATTGTTTCCTATTTCGTAATCGAAATCGAGTTCATTGAAAATATGCAAGGTATAAACTTTCCCAAACATTTTATTAAATATCATCGTAATTTTCGCTAATTTTCGAAGAAATTCCTTAAACCTTCTGAACTAAATTGCTACGGGAAGGAGAGAGCGGTGGAGTGACCAATGCGTCGAATACGCCGCCATAGTTGAAGTGTAATATTTTAATAGTAATCATAATGAAGTTACAGAATGCTTTTATACAGTATGTATAGATAGAGTCATAATATAATCGCTCTTAATTAGTATGATCGACGTAAGTATGCTTAATCAATTCGTTAGTTCGTTATCTATTAGTCAGAGAGAAGGATGAGAGGAGAGATATGTAGAGAACACGTATCCGTAAGATCTTACGTGAAAAAACAGGGGAACTTGCTATGCTGTCGTCAACGCCGTTACCAAAACGCTATTCGCAAACGTTGCCTGGGAATGATCGAAAGAAGAGAAAGAAAAGAACCATCGCGTTCTTCTCCTTTTGCATTTCCTCCTTTCCGTACATACGCCTAAGTCTCTACGAAATTCGAGCATTCGCGAGCATCATTCTTGAACATCGAGAACAGGATGGGAATACGCGCGATCCTTTTATCAGCTATCCAGTGAAATAAACATAACAATTATGCGCCTCTATGAAGTACTTCTCGCGACCCGCGTCGCGATAAATCGATAAGATCGCATTCATATTTATAATATATGCATATGTATAATATCTATTTATATATATATATTAAAAATCACGGAGAACCTCCCTCATCTTTTTTACAAACGTTATATCACCTAATAGAAATTTGTACACAGACTCTCATAAAACGTTTCTCTCTTAATTACACGCTCGTTTCGCTAATCGGCATTCTCGTCGCTTTGGCTTCGCGTCGACTCACACCAGAAAAACGTACAGTACTTTCCTACCTAGATTCGAGCACGAGCTCCACGAGGTTTCGTCGATTCTCGCTCGTCGAGAATCGCCAAGATCGATCTACTCTTTGGAAAGAAAGGAGGCGAGAGGAAAAGAGAAAAATAATAAAGAGGGGAAAAAGAGAAAACAAGAATCGAACGCCGATGATTGATCTTCGTCTCGGCACCTCCCACCGGAGGCTCGATCTGCGATATCCTTGGATAGCTTCGCGATTAGATCGTCCCGCGCGAATATACCGCTAAAAGAAGGGAAACCGAGTTTTTGAAACTCGAGTCGGGATCTGTCGCTCGTGGCAAGACAGCCTCGCGACGACAAAGTAACTCGCGATGCGAATAAATAATACTACGACGATCGACCGACTCTGCGGCCGATGAGGGTGTAAAAGGGACAAGTTCGAACGATTATTAACTACGTGCGCGTGTACGATGAAAACGAGCCTGTAGGAACTACGCTATTGAACAGCTTGCCCGTAACGAACGTGAATACCTGTGTGAGTGTTCGTGTTTGTGTGATCGTGTAGGTGTACAGTGTCCGCGATCGTGTACGAGAAAGGACAGTAGTGAATTCCGTTCGATCTCTCTCAGGTTCTCACTCTTGCGGTGCAAAAAAATAGAGACTTGGAAAATAAGAACCCATCGGGTCCGAGGACGTTCGTGGATTACCATAAACGCACTTCTCTTCAGCGTCCTTAGCGTCTCTTCTCGTCGCGTACTCGAGGAGAGTGGAATTTTCGTGATCATCGGCGACGAAAACTCCCCAAACCGACACACTGCGTTCACCACGAGTTACTCGGAAACACTGTCAACCGAATCTTCCTACGTTTTGCAACGGTTGCATCGACAACCTCGCGAGGGTTCTACGCGTACCACTGGGACAGCATCTCCGCGACGGATTTTCATCTTCCTCAAGCTAGCCGACCGATGGGCTATGTGGAAATCTCGATGACAGGCTCGGCCGTGTTGTTGTTGAGCAGTTCCTGCTTCTCTCTCAGCTTGAGATCGTATTGCGGCGGCGGGGTGGACTCCTTGGTCTCTGCTGGCGACAGGCCATCCGCGTCGTCCAACGGAGAGGCACCCTCCTCGCTGTCCTCGTCCTCGTCGTACTCGGTTTCCAGCTTGGACTCGTGCATCTCGTGAAGTCGACTGGGCAAATAGGCCGGATGAGGCGGCAATCCGTAGCCAGCTTCGCCACCGTAGGTCACTTTTCCCATGAACGACCTGATCTCGTCGAAGTACGTATCCTCCCGTTCGTTTTCGTTGCTGCTGCCAGGAGAATCCGCCACGGAGACAACGCCACTGCCATCATCGGCTTCGTGCTTCTTCAGGTGTCTGTCCAGATTCGTCTGCTGACCGAAGCACCTCTCGCAGAGAGGACACTTGAACGGTCTTTGCTTGTCGTGGATGTTCCTCACGTGTCGCTGCAGGTTGCTGGAGATGCTGAAGGATCGTTCGCAGTACTTGCACTTGTACGGTTGTTCCCCGGTATGCGTGCGCAGGTGTCTGGTCAGATTGGCCGATCTGGGGAACACCTTGCCGCAGAACTTGCAGGAGTACCGATCCTTCATCTTGCCGTGAGCGTGATGATGATGGTGATGATGATGCGACGCAATCACGGCCTCTTGGAACGGTTTCACGCCGGGGAACGGTCCCAACGGCGGCCTGGCGAGCAGATCGAATCCACCGCCTCCTGGCCTAGCACCGCTGAGCCCGTTCATCAGAGTCCCTAAAAAAGGTAGTCCTCGCGGTGGCCCGAACGGTGGTAACGGCGGTAACAGTCTGGATTCCGGGGTCGCGCTTCCGGGAGGTGGTGGGCCACCTGGGAATCCCGGGAAGGAACTGGTTGGACCGCGATACATGGCTTCTAGAAACATAGGGTGGATCGGTCTAGGGTACGCCATGTGCGGTGGAGTGTTGGTAGGCGGTTGCTCGGTGGATAGACTGTTTCTCAGCTGTGGACTATTGGGCACGTCCTTGGAATCCATCTCCATGGACAACGGGGTCTCTTCCTCTGGTTTCGGAGGATCCGGAGGCGGTGGGTCTTCCTCTATCGGCGCTGGTGTCGGCGACGGGCTGCGACTCTTTCTCTCGGCGGTGTTCGAGTTTGTCCTTTGCCTCTTCGTTTGCACTCTCAGATCCAGGGGTTGATCCGTCGTCTCTTCGTTCGTGGTCGATGGAACGTGCTCCGAGTCCACTTTCTTCTCGTTGCTCCTGCTCCTCTTGCGTTTCCTGGCAGGATGGTCGTCGCTCTCCGGAGTGGGTTGGATGGGTGGTCTAGCAGGGGATGGTCTGAACGAGGACGTAGCCTCCTCGGCGGTGGATGGAGAGACTTTACTGTGCTGCGGCAGCACTCTCGGCGGAGTGAATCGTTCCTTCTTCGGACTGTCGCTCCTCTTCTCGGCTTCCTCGACTTTCGGCGGGAAGAGGAGAGGCGTGTTCAAGAAATTCGGAGCATTCGGAAAGATTCCTGGGTAAGGTCCCATCAGACTGGGCGGATAGAAGGGCAATCCTCCCGGGAGACTGACGGGAGGTCTGGGATAGACGAGGAAAGGACTAGGCGCCGGGGTTGGCAATTGCGGCATGGTGCCAGGTGGACCGGTCGACGGGGTAGAGTCGCAGAATCGCTTGTGCTTCGACAACGAGGTGACCGTGCTAAACGACTGTCCGCATTTACCGCACTTGATCTGCATGCGACAGTCCGCGTGCATGCGTTTGTGTCGGCATAGATTGGAGAACTGCGTGTACGACTTGAAGCACACCTCGCACTGGAACGGTTTCACGCTGCTGTGGATGTGAGTGTGCTGCTTGAGACCGGAGCTGGTCGCGAACGTCTTCCCGCACTCGGTGCACGCGTGACTCCTCGCGCCCACGTGATGTGTCCGGATGTGACGCTGGAGGTTCGACGGGTCCGTGAAGACCTGCGATTTGTCCGACTGTTAGCGAAACTTTGAAGATGTTACTCCGTGGAGAAACGTGTCTTATTTGGTCGCGATCGGGTCAGAAGTGATGCTTACCTTTGGACAATTCTCGCAGGGGTAGTTGCGTAGATCACCGTGAACGATGGCACGGTGACGAACCAGCAGTGGTCGCCAGGCGTACGCTCGTGGACAGCTGTCGCAACGATGATGTTCCGCTGGATACTTGTGACAGGTGACCAGGTGGCTATCCAATCTGAAAGGGAAAACATGGAAAATCGGGTGAGAAACTCGCCACTTGGACTATCCTCGAGCATCCGACACTGAGATTCCGCACCAGGCGTCCCCGTCCCGCCAGAATTGAGCAATTCTAACCCGTCGATGGGTTCCTACCCTCGTAAATTCGATATTCAAGGATGACAAGCCCGTCTAGGAGAACGGCACTCCGTTGTCGGCAAAAAGCCCTGGAAACTCGAGCGTAATCGCGTGGAAATCTCGGAGCGGGTCGAGCAAGAAACCTCAGATATAATCGATCCGGGGCAGCGCACCGACGAAGACTGCGCTCGGTGCAGTCTAGGATGATGACTAAGTGACTCCGGTAGCGCGGCAGCGGACAAGCTCTCGCGTAATAACGGTCACACGCCCCCGAAGGAAGAGGGTGGTCATCGTATGCACACAAAGAAAGGAGAGAGAAAGAGAGGGAGAGAGAGAGAGAGAGAGAGAGAGAACGAGTGCCGCGACGACGATGGCGGTGGCGGGGTGCAACACGAACAACGCTCGTTGCAAGAGCGGGGTGTCGCGAGCTGGCCACGGGTTATGGTCACAGGATGTGCCATGGTGTGGTGGCGGCATTGATTTTACACCCTCGAACACACGTGTCGCGTGAAACCTATTCGTGGTGAGATAGTAGGTTCACGGTGACGGTGCGCCGTGCCAGATGAGCTGCGGGCACGCGACGCCTTCGATGATGCATAAGGGGGTGGCTCGATGCAACCAAATGCGGATCTCGCGCGTACTTTATGTGCCACAACAGGTGACTCTGCCGAGCCGAGGCTCACGGAAGCGGCTGGTGTCGCGGTCTGTCGCCATACCGGGAAACAGATGCCGGAACGGGCCGAAATGGATGTCCGAAATTGGACCAGTCGCTGTTATGCAATGCGGAACGATTTTTCCTTCAGTTCGAGCGAGCCTCATTCGTCAAAAGAGTTTTCCAGTATCCCCAGCAAGAAAAGGATAGAGAAAGACGAGTGTTTGTTTCTAATTAGGGGGTTCGATCCCTGAAAGAGGGTAATTAAGACAACACCCTTGCGCGTCGGTCTTCCGAATCGTGGGAAGGAATTGCAAGGTAAATAACGCGAGCTTCCATACGATGATCGCGTCGACCGAGTATTTGACTTTTCGTTTAATGACGCTACGCAAACAGCGTCGACCCCTGAAAAAGCTATCGTAATTCCGAAGCCAACCCTCGAAACGGTTCGCGTGCTCGGGACCCCCATTTTCCTTCGGAGCACGGCTAACGCACAGATTTCCAGTGGATAAGGCGCCTCTCGTTCCTGCATTTCGTCGATTAACGAATAATTTATCGGCGAAATCAAACGATCCAGCGATTACCCGACCGTTCGATCTGTTATTTCCCTCGAGTGTCAATGGTAGATATCACGACATCATCGTTCGTATCTGCCATGGATAAACCGATTAGCTCTCGCAGTGATAACGCGAGTAGGCAATCGCGGATATATATATATCAATCTCGATCGCGATTCGTCGAACGACCGTGCCGCAAGGGGGGACGATACGTGACCATCTGATTCCAGCAGCGAATACCGAGCTACGTACGCTTCGTGAGTCGAGCTTTGTATCGTTGATTTTACAACGATTTCTCGGTTTATGAAACGTAACGATAAATATATAGCGTTACTCGCTTGGATCAAAGCTTCAAAGGGGTCGAGGACGAAAAGCGTTGGCCAACAAAGCGATAGAGCTATAAGAGAGCAAAATTTCAACGCGAAGAGAACCGTGACAAACGATTTGAATTTTAAGATACTCACAGTTCGATATCTTGGAACGGCTTGTCGCAGACGGGGCATCTGGTCTCACCCTCCTCCTCGTCCTCCTTGTCCTCGTCTACGGTACCACTGTGTTGAGAGGCTACAAGCACAAAGAAGAAAAGACGCATGAAACGACGCCGCGGAAACCAGAGACAGGCTGGAAGTCATAATTCCGTTCCACTTTGTGACGGGCTGCGGCTCTATAAATTACACCCCCGAGAACGATGATACGTGACCCGTTCTGGTGTGGGCGAATTACGTGATCGAGAAGCGCGCGGGGAGCCAGCAGAGAGTGGCGTGACAAGTGGACGCCAGGATTGTTCCTGAATTATTAAATCAAACCGGCACTATCGTTTTATCTAACCACCGAAGAACTCTACCTCCACTACCAACATCCTATGATCGCGTAATTTTTCCTGCGACGTGCTCTTGTACTCCTTATCCGCGAATCTCGAAACTGCGTTGCTCTTACGAAATTATCGCCATGTGTTTCCGCGATTAATTTTTCGCGAAAAGGAACAAAAAAATAACGGCGAGATTACTTCGGGATCTCGAGAACTGATTGCTCGCGGGAATAAAAATTTTCTGATCGTTGTTTTATATTATGCGGACACTTGAACGAGGATAGGAACACCGAAAGGGCGAAGAGGAGTACAAACGCGAGGAGACACGTCACAGTCACTACGAAGTACCTTCTTCTCGTCGGTCACGATGCTGCAGTGGACGAAGACAATGGATACAATGATGCACCAGTTAGCCGGTAGCACGTTATCCTGCAACTGAAAACGCGAACGGGGTGTCGGGGACCGCTTCCTATTGGTAACAGCGAGGTCGCAGTCCAACCAATCGCAGGTGAGACTAGTTTGCCCCCTGCGGCCTCGCTTCACCCCCAACTGATAGAAGCAACGGCAGGTAAAATCCGGTACCCGTGAACGAGACAGCAATTTTTAATCACGGAGACTCTCGACCGATGCAACGGTCAGAGAGACATATCCTCGACGCAGAGAAAAGGAATTTTCTGAACGTATCTGATTTCGACTAACGTCGAAAATTTGTACAAACCCGCGCTACCTTTAATCATCTCGATAATCCACGTATCGCAATTTTGACACGCGAAAATTTAATCTCGGTGCGATTGAATTGGAAGGAGAATGTAATAATGGAATGAATAGTGGATCTCGAAGGTAGGCGTGAACGAGTGGAAAATACGAAGATAATTAACCAATAGATGTACGTCGATGGAATATTAGCAGGCCGAATGGCAAAGTCGAAACGATAGCCGTCCACCAACGGTTATTTAAATCTGCCGCTACACTTGTCCCGACCATATGGTCGAGCGATGGCCCCCAACGGACCTTCATGGGAACCGGGCACAGCCCCTACGCCACCAACTACGCCCCTCGCCACGCAGCCAACCCCCCATAGAACGTTAATCGTTCCTCCATCCACGACTAATTTGAAGCGGCACGCCGTGAATTTAAACAATGAAGGATGCGGTCGACCTCGCGATCCGCTAAACGGGGTCGTACACTGGTCTTTCGAAAAACTAGCCCATAGATCGTGGGTAGATAGAGACAAAAAATATGTCAACGGTTTAACGAAGGTTAAACGAAGGTTGAAACACGAATAATCAACGCGAGGTATATGCTTTTAATTCGAAAGAAATCGTCGGCACGGTTCAAAGAGAAGTGAATTTCTACGACAGTGACAGAGATGGTAAGCCGATCTAGGCGTTAATCATTCCCGAATCTAATCATTCCCGTGGCTAAAAAACCTGGCTGAATGTGCCGTGGAAAGTCAACAGGTGGGATCCACTGGCAACACCCCCTGCAGCCGTGTCAGTTGGCGGTTGCATGGGAAAAAGTAACGGAAATCAATGTTTCCGTGGCATCGTGACGGACCAGGATCAACTGGGTGCCCCTAAGAATTCGAGCGAGACACCTCGAAGCGGAACGGACACCCCGGCTTCGAAAACGCGCCGATTCTCTGCATACGTTAACCCATTTGCATCCAAGCGCGGAATATTCCGTGAGCCACGACTGTTGTCTATCACCGAGCGCGGAATATTCCGCGAGCCACGGCTGTCGTCTATCACCGAGCGCGGAATAATCCGCGAACTGACTTTTTCCATTACCAGTTGCTGAATATTCTTCGTATGCCACAGATCACGTTTGATCCCTTTTGCGAGCATCTCATCTACATCGGTTCATTATATTCTTAACAAGTTTTACTTTTGTCGTGAAAATCCTTTTAACTGCCATTACGAGTAGGTGCTGATACGCGCGAGGTGATACGGGCTAGTCGTCAGTTGAACGTCGCTGATGCCTGAACACGACACCTCAAGTAGAGCCATGATGCAAGTGGGTTAACCGTGAGACCCGAACGGAACAAGACTTCCGTTCGAGAGCATCCCCGGGAAGCAATTGGACCCCGCGACGTCCGGAATCCTCGGAATGGAGCATCGCAACGCGAGTGAAACGTCAAACAGGACGTGTCATTAGTTCGATGAATCAGATAGGGTTGTCAGCCATTTTCACCCGCCCTCCGCGCGCGTGTGCCACCCCCTTGGAAAACAGCGTCGCGTGCCCTTTCATGCGCGGATACCCCTTTTTTTTCCGAGCTGTACCCTTTCTTTTTTCCATCCAGACCGAGCATGAGGCCAGGTTACGCGCGTGTTAATCGACAATACCAGGCCATAAATTATCCACTACCCTAAATAGAGCCATCCGTGGAGGAAAAGAGATGCGTCTCGTGGCTGGAACGAAAGATGGCGGGGAAGGGTGAAGGTGCACGGGGTGACGGAGGGAAAAAAACGGTGAGCGCGAAAAATCAAAACCATAACTCACGTTAACTGTCGCCAGTTGCATCTACGCCCCACGGGGCGCGCTTCGTGCGGCGTGGTTTACCCAATCGGCGAAAAAATCCGCCTGTCTCGACGTCATAAAACGAGCTATAGCTCGTCATTCGAGGAAGGATCAACGCGTTCGCTATCGAGGATAGTTTCGTTCGGCCGTGTGTACCACTTCGATCGCGAGAGACGGCGGAAACAATCGAACGCAAATAAAACCGGATATGCCCGAAAGCTTCTCCGAGCGCGGTCGTTTTTCCGGCCTCTGTAGCGGAAACGCGTAAAAATAGTTTTCACAAACGTTTCGAACGCATAAAGGAGATTTTTGACACCGATTTAATGCCGTGCCATGCATACGCGCGCCCCCATGCAGACGCGTTAAAGCGACTCCCTTCGTCCCGTATCCCTCCGCACAGGCGAGAAAAAATGATCCGCTCAAGGGAGTCGGAGCAGAGATGTCCCTAGCAAGGGTTGCCACGGGGTGTAGGCCGGTTGTTTGACATCATTATTCGCGCTACACGCACCAGATTGTCGGGGATTTCTCGTAAAAATGGCTTCCACGGATTAACGACTATCCGGTTGTACCATTTTTTGGCTATTTTCTCCATCGCTTATTACGATCCACGAGGGAGGAGATGGCAAATGTACCAACGCTACGGTGATGGTAATAATGGGAGTAAAAATGAAATGGAAATTCGAGTGTCAAGAATTTATACGTAATTTTTGATTCCCCGGTGGAAGTTTCGTAGGAAGTTACGAATGAACGTTTGCCGGAACCGCTGGGGTGCACTTCCGGGGTTGGCAGTCTGGCCCGGAATCGGGACCGCTGCCGGCACCCGGAGAAATTCGCCACCCCATGGTCGTAGAGGATTTATAAGTGGAATGTAAAGTGGGTGGAAATCTTCGAAATTTTAATTGGCCCGAGGGAGGGGCCGATTTAATTAAGAACGAGTCGGCTGCGCTGCGTGTCTTCTGTCCTCGGAGGAGACGTTTACGAGCCGGTGAAATTGCGAGGAAAAATCGCCGGCGAATTAACCGTAGACACCGCGCCGCCTCCAACTTTCATAATAATCCCGCTTTTAATTACCGCGACATCTGGGTGTCGCGTATAACCCCCTTTAATCTCAGTCTCGCAGTCATCCGGATCCTGACCATCGTGCAGGAGTTACAACCAGATAATTGTCGAGCAGTCAGGCACCTAGGTGCCAACCCTCTTCGCAAATGTCTCGAATATATTTCCCGCGCTTCACCTAATGAAGTTCGAAGACAAATGGACGCGCGGAACGCGTGCACGGCTTCTCTCTCGCTTCTCGCTTTCCGACCTTTTCCCGGGGATATCGAACTTGGCGGAGCGAACGACGTTTTAAATTGGAATTTAAAGCGACACGAGGCACGGTAACACGCGGCACGAGTGCGTCTATCTCGCGATAATCAGTGCTTATTACCCACGAAAAGGGGTTAATACGCAACGGCCGACCAGGTGAATCACGCCAGAATCACGGGTGCATGACGAGCACAGCTCGTGCAGTCAACGATTCACGATTTACCCTCTGTCCTCCCTCGCATCAGAGCGGTAATTCCGCTTTTCGAAAACACCTGCCCCTGTCCTTCCGACTAGTACGCGCGATCCCGCGCGAGTACGCACGAGTCACGATGTGTATCGGCCCGAAAAGTCGTAAAGCCAGCTTGCCCGCATGTCCGACGATTGGGAATATTTTAATGGACTTGATTATCTGTCCGTTTGCCCAGTGTTTCCGCTGTCACGTCAGTTGGCGAACACTCGCCGGCTCGCGATCGATCTTTCTCGCCCGATGAAAAAAGGCGAATTTCCAACGGGTTCCGTCTTTGTCCGCGCGACTAACCGGTTCGCAGGCTAATGAATCGCTCGTCGAAGGGATGTTGGAGAGAGACGTTGGTTAGTAGCCACAATAACGCGTGCAAGAAGTGCCAAACCGCGTCCCTTCCCCTGTCAAGATCGCGTCGTATTTGATACTCACCGGTCTCTCGGTCGCTTCGGTCCTCGGTAGTATTTTCACCGAGCATGTCCTGAAGCTGAAGAGGTTCTCGAACACCGAGAAGCAGCTCTTCACCAGCCGCTATGTCCCGGACCGCCTCGTACACCATCTGCGGACAATGACACCCTTGAGTCTTCCGACCCTTTCTCGTTACCTCTCATCGCGAATTATCTCGAGCTTCTTCGAACAGCCTCGAGTAGGTGCTGCTCGGCGTAAATACCGAGGTGATGCTTCGATAATTACGGCCACCGTTACGCAGGATACCGGATCATAGGCTGAAGCAAATCCCGATTAGCTGTCGATAGAATCGGGAAGTCGGGAAATCGAGAATCGCGATAATTTCGGGCCCCCCGACCCGCCGTTGATTAATATCGTAGTTTTCAGCGACGCGAATTTTCCAGCGAGTCCATAACAGTCGAAGGCAATGAAAGGATCTTTATGGTATCGTCCGAAGGCCCCCGAAAAGTCATTACAACGGCGATTCTGTAGGGCTCTGATAGACCGGGCCACATCCCCCATTCCCACAGCGATTGCGAACGGGGCGTATAGGAAGTCACCGAAACGACCCCGTAGGGTGACTTAATAACTAAACACCCTGTATACACGTAGCTTAGGGAGCGCCCACAACGTAGCCAACACCATGTGCCATGGTTCGCATAGATAGAAAATCCAAAGGATAGGAGGCCGGGATCAACCTCAAATTGACACCGTGACCTCCATTCTACCTTTTCGACGTATTGAATAGCTTTTCCGCGAAAAAAACTGCAGAGTGATCCAGATGGCCAATGATATCATCGCGATGACCCTTTGGCGTCGTTCGAATGATTATTGTTATCGATAACGAGAGTCGTGTAACTCTCGTGACACTGAAATGACTTTAACACGACCTCTGTTGTCAATGACAAGACCTATCGTGCACTTGAAATAACGATGAACGTCAATGAAGAGACCTCGATGACCCCTGTAACCTTCAAATGACTTCTACGTGATCTTTATTGGGAAAAAATGAAACCTTGACAGCGTCCAGGACATTGGAAGGACTTTTTGATCCGTCATATCTTGGAATGACACGACGAATATTGTCACCACATGATCTCCAAACATCGTCAAGTTTATGCGATAGTTACTAGATTCTATTTATTTTCACGTCCCAAAAAAAATGAAACCTTGACAGCGTCCAGGACATTGGAAGGACTTTTTGATCCGTCATATTCGTCTACGAATATTGTCACCCCATGATCTCCAAACATCGTCAAGTTTATGCGATAGTTACTAGATTCTATTTATTTTCACGTCCCTTAAGATCTCTTCTCGATTCAATCAACTAGACGCAGACTAAATATAGTCTCGTCTGGTAACTTTGCGTTTCGTGTTTCAATTATAGAAACCGATTTCGAGAAATGATCCTTTCTCGTAACGCAACTGATTCGAAATCCTTGGCTGCTATAAAAATAACATTTTCCCTCCATCAACGAAAATGGCCGTGCGTTGGAGGCATTGTTAAGAAGTTTTCGAACATTTCTTCTTCCAGAAGAGTATCCGCGGGCTACGTGGTTGAAATAACCTCGGCGACCAGCGAAGTTGCGTGCAGAAGAACGAGAGAGTTAAAATTTCGAAGTAGTGCATTTGGCAGTTACAAATCTAAACGTAAATCTACGAACTTGGCCGCGGTTTCCGTTCTATCGTCGTCTCATTAGCGAGTCACGGAAACACAGCAGCGTGGGCGCATGTTTTTTTATTAGTTTCACTAGCACACGTGGAATTAACTACGACTGCGTCTGACACCGTGTAATTATTCCTTCCTATTAACTGCAACTGTCGATCCAGTGTCAGTTGCGCTCGAAACCGAATTCGTTAGTGGTCAATACCGAACGCCACGCGCCAAGTTACTACCGACTTGTAAAACAATTATCGAAGCTCGCATGGAAATGGAAACGTTCGTCGCGAATGGTTCCGCGTGATCATTGAACCGCTGACAAAACCGGCCGATCGATCGGTCGCGCGTTTAATTCGTCGAAAGTTATATATTTTTTCGTTTTTCTTCGAATTAACGGTCATTACCTGTCCACCAATAAGCACGTGTCGCATATTAACGGCGTGCGGACTGCTAGTGCTTCGAACATACTTCAACCAATTATTTGTTTCGTGGGATGCGTCCAACCACCCCCTCACTCCACTTCCAGCGGTACGAACCTGAAAAAAATCATTTCCCCATAATGTACCATTAAAGCAACGTCATCTATAAAGCATTCTTTCGTTCAACGTCATCGGTTGCACCTGACGTCAGTATTGACACCACGAATAAACACGAGCAAGTATTATTAATAATCGAATTAAGAAGCGATCAATTTCTATTAGGAACGCAATTTGGCCAGTGCACGTGCGGAATACGGTTCGTACGAACGCGGACTTCCGGAGGTGAACCGCAATGTTTTGGATCCGGGACATTGCGTTTAACGGACTACCGCTCACGGATATCGCCCTCTCATCACCCGATGTTGCACGCCGCTACAGCATCCACTAGGGTGTGCTCTCCCTACTTTTAGGGCGAGACAAGTGATTTTTTCAATTGTCTTGCGCGACCACGCTACGCTCCGAGACGCTTGGCCGGCCAAGCGTCTCACCCTGATACGCCCCTGGACAGCCCGCCTTTCGATGCCACTCTTCCACCAATTCTCACCCTCGTCTCGCGCTGTAAACACATTCACACTTCCATCTAGGACCTCGTTGTCCACGGTTCATCCGAAGAAACCGTCACGCGCGACCAATATACGCTTCACTTTTATTTTTAATCCAAGTCGACAATGTAATCGTGTATCTTCGAGGAAAATTAATTTCTTGGACTTTAAGGTCTTTTATACTGCGGAATTACGAGAGAGCGATTCTATTAGCGAAAAATTTCGAACGTTTGTCAACATAAATTTTCCTCTGCAAAATTGGAGAAGGTATTTCAACGTTCTCTTATCACAGGCATCTAAGAACGTTTCATTACAGCCCTACGTCCGTTGGTCGGCTTTACCCTACCACCTGCCGGTAACGAGTACAACTAGGTGTGCCCATAAAAATCAATGAATCTCGCAGGTGGATAAGCGTCTACCTTGCAGGTAAGTAATCACGGTTACCGAGACTCGAGTGCCAGAGAGTTGTTTTCCACGGAGAAGATCTGCTCATCCCGGATAATCCGAGGCTGTGTTGAACTTTGGAAACATCGGATCAGCTGACAGGGACCTCTTCTCGCCCTTACGCCCCTGGCCTAATTGTACGATGTGTATACTTTTTTAGAAAAATGACCTACCTCTCGAGATAATATTTTGTGATATCGATAAATCTTATGCAATCGATATGGAATAGGACTGTAATAAAGGATAGACTAGAAAAACACGATAATCGGGAAAAGGGCTTATCTGGGAAATTTTCCTTCTTTCGAAGCCATGCGTCAATTATTCCAAGAAGTATTTCGATTTCGAACGTTCCGGGGATTAAACGATAAATTTCGTGGTAAGCTATTGCACTCGATTCCTCGTTTCGGCGTCTTCAATGATTACCTAGGACGTGTCCCATCGGGTATCATTGATCGACGCATGGGTTCAGGTAGAAACGGCCGACTAGTAATACCCTATAATGCCGGAATAAGAAGTGGGACAGTTTGGCGGCCGGGAAAACGAAGAAAAGGAAAGCGAGATGGCACGATTCCTTCGGCACTCATAATGGCCAGTTTAGCTACCGGGTCTGCTAAGGAGCGTTTTTGGAAGATGGGCACGAACGAGCCGCCACAATGGGGCTTCTGGCTGTGTAACGCGACAGATTAGGATCTCACGCGAGTGACACCTTTCACTATGATGCGCCAACTTGCTACTTATTCGCGCAGCAAAGAGCACTTTCGTCAGGGAAAATGGAAACTTGTTAAAATCCCTGCTTCATCGAGAGATTCTCAAAGGCCTTCCACGAAATGCCAAATCAAGGTATCCGCTTAAAAATGAGTTTCCCTAAACGAAGAAACGATGCAGTGGTTCGATGGAAATCATAGCGTCGTGTAACTAGCGAATCGCGATGGGAAAATTAACGGAATTAATTTAAAATTTATCGCGTGACGTATTTAAATAATTTTATTCCTTGAATCACGATACAAGAAAAATTCACCGGTCTTGTAAAAGCAGATCTTACCCCGTCGAAAAATCGGCGAAATTAGGGGTTGTTTCCGATACGAACCCTTCAATCGCATACGTAACACGTGCACATTATACGCGTATACGATGTGTACGCGATAAAACGAAACACTCGTTCTGGCATCATGACCAAGTTTCGCGAGAATTGACCCGACCTTTAACGCGATAAGCGAATAATTCGATAAAGTACCCCGAGGCCCAAGTGGTAGCTTTATTTTCTCAGAGGCTCGTATGAATCTTGGTCGGTTTCGGGTAAGTAGACTGTCAGCTGACGGCGAACCTGCCAATCTATTCGCTTTGTCGGCTCGCACGGACATGTGCTAACAATTCGAAGGACAGATTTGTCTAGCCGTGGATCTCGTTCGTTCCTATACTAATCGTGAGGCAGAAAGCGGCAGCGAGCGAGGGGTTACGGTTGCGAGAGTTCTCTGGCCGCAAGCGGAACGCGCATTAACATCGGAACTCTTTGAAATCAAAAGCAGAAATACCCATTGCGGGAAAGCGAATAGGGATACTCGAAATTTCGACGTTCTGCGCGAACTCTGCCCGCGGACATTGTTCCCTTTATCGAATCGGAAAGAATTAATTACGTGCAGCGCATTATCTTCGAACAATAACGACGAACGCCGACGAGGCCTGGGAAAACGGGGCTCAAAGGGGAAAGGAAAATACGAGTTAAATGGAAAGGCAGAGGAAGAGGAAAGGAGAAACGGCGAGGAGAGGGAGTCGACGGGCGACACGCGAATAAATTATAATTGCATGATTCCTTGAGCCTCTTTAGCGGCACGCCGCGCGTCGCCGCGAAATTGCTAAAATTGGCAGAAATGCGCGACCATTTTAATTACATCCCCGGTGTTCGCGCTGATTTTTCTCTATGAACCTTCATCCCCTAGAACACCGGGCGATATTCACAGTTCGGCGGCTAGAAGGCAACGATGATAATTGAACCGTCGCGCCGTTGACTTTCACACGATAGGGAAAACGCGGGAAAATAGTGTAATAAACGAAGGAAATGTCTATGAAACTACGCTCGTAAACGAGAATTTCTCTTTCGTTTAAATCCACGATCCGTTGCCGTTCGTTTGAAAGCTTCGGGCCGAGAAAATCTTTCGGGGCCTAATTTGTCCGTCCGCGAGGAACAGAATGCTGTGGTCGGTTGAGAGAAAAGGGGGAAAAATGGGAACAAGCGACAAGAGGTCGGACAAGACGCATCGCAGGCGTTCGGTTGATCTGCAGGACACACGGTCAGAGGATTCCTCGTTCGCCCGGCATGGGGCCCGCAGGACACAGTCCTGTCGCACAAAACACGCGATCTCTCCTCTTTTTCCCTTTGTAATCTCACACCTTCAACAAAAACCAACCGACGAAAGATCTTTCCACGTCGGCTGGGTTTTACCGAAAATACCCCACGAGAATGGCGACGGGGCCAGACAGCGCGGCAGATCCTCGTGGATCCTCCTTCTCTCAATGGACCCTCATAATCGGCGAGGTTCCGCGTCGTTTTCCACGTTCCCGAGGATCAACCACCGTGTACCGGGGGAAGGACGATCGTGATCTTTTGCCGTCCAACTCGACGTTTCAATCTGCTGGCGATTCCGAGGGCACGTCATCCGTGGAACGTGTCCATTCACAAATTAAGACACCGTGAGTCCAGGTCAGCTGGATCACTCCGTCTCGATCCTTCCCGAGATCGCTGCAGAGATACGTCTCCCCTCGACTCGAGCGAAACGCGGAAATATTTTTAAACGCGCGCAATGCTCGACGGTGGTATTTAATTTTAATCGCGAAAGGTGGAATAAGCTCGGTTTGCACGAACGAGAATGTAAAAATAAATGAAAAGCGTTGTCCTCGCGTAATTTTAATGCGCAACTATGACGGCCCCGGAGGAAGAAAGAGAGAGAGAGAGAGAAATGAAAAGAGAGGGAGAAAAAGAGAGAGACCTGTTCGACGCGGTAACGAGGGACGAAAGTTATGAATAAAGTGGATCGATAGCATATGATAGTACCGTGATGGCCGACGCAAAAATGCTTTTAGCCGACACAGCGTGTCCTCCCTCTCCTGGAAAACCCACCACGCAACTTTCCTGATTCGTCGACTTCGAGGCATCGTAGTGTTCCCGTTCAGAGCCCTTCCGATGCGATTTAAACAAAATTTCGTGAAACGATCGTTCGCCTAATTTGTAGAAATAGCAGTTTACCGCGGCGAATAGGTAACGAGAGGTGGAATCCTTGCGAGCTCGGCCGAGTCACGAGCGGGCGCGTAGATCACAGCAGCGACAGTGAACCGTCATTATCGTCGTGTGACGCAACAATGGCATATCGAATTCCATTTTCAACCCTCCGCCCGTCTACACCGGGGCGAAAGAGAGGCTCGTAAACATCGTGTGCCCCGGCGCAGCGGTGAATTTCCCAGAGTTTCGAGAAATTCGTTGGGCGTCGCGCGCCGGGGAGACTGAAACGGTCAATTATCATCCCCTAAATAACAGGACTGTTTACGATTCCAGGCGTCGTATAGCGCGAGCGCAATCCCCCGACCGAATGCGGCATTAGCCGTGGCGACATCTTTGCTTAATTTCCTCTTAGTTTAAAGCTCACCCCCGCGCTCTTGCCCAACAGAGGAGACGATTCACGCCGGCTAGCGAAACCTTCAGCCACCCTTAATTGGCCTGTAATTAATTTCTGCCGATCGTTCGAGCGTTCGTCCGTTGCCACGCAAGTTTGCCGAAACTTTCCTCGATGTTTCCACCATGTATTATTTTTCGGCCACTGTCAGGAGCGATTGTTTTATCGATCCTGTTATTGGAGGAGAACTCGCGTCACGGTCAGACGAATTCCCAAACGGAATGAAATTCGAACGAAGCCGATATCGAACCGACGGACCAACTTTAATTACATTTTTGATAACCAACCGCACGAGCGATAAAGAGACGCTGCACACGAGCTCGAATCGTAAATCAAAGCGCGCATTACGCAAGCGTTAGGGTGCTTAATTGCACGCTCGTGTCTAATCGCGACGAAGACGATCGAG